GAAGCTCCATGTTTAGCAGTTTGAGGAACCTCCAAACAGTTTTCCATAGTGGTTGTACTAGTTTGCATTCCCACCAGCAATGCAGGAGAGTTCCTTTTTAGGAGAGACTTTTAATAGTGGCACAAAGGAAAGCCTGGGGGGCGAATAAGTGATGTCGGGTGATGCGGGGCCCGGTCAGAATAGCATATATGCAAAGGCCTGGATGCAGGGCAGAGTTTGATTTACTTGAGCTGCTGGATGAAACCAACGAGACTATCATGTAATGAGTGTCAGAAGAGTGGGAGGAGATGGGCTGAAGGCGCTAGTCATATGGAGATGTGTTACAGAGTCTGGATCTTACCCTAAGTGCAGTGGAAGGTTTTAAGCAGGGGCGTAGGTAACATGATCCCGTTGGAATGGAAAGTGAATGGGGTAGGGTGATTGAAAGTGAAAGCAGGTCAGTTAAGAGTTGTGCATGGTCAGGGGGTTGAGGATGATGGCTGTGACCACCATCATCATCCCTCCTGGCTGTGACCAGGAGGGACCCCAAGGCTGATGTTGAAAAGTTTGTAGCTTCGGGACACTGTATCCGTGCAAGATTTGGGTGTGGGTGAGAGGGTCCGTCCCAGAAGTGCTTCGAGCCGTGCAGTGAGGGGAAAGGGAGGAAGTGTTTGGTCAGGGGGTGGACATGCAAGCGACTCACATTGGAGGAGGGTCATGACGGGGCCTCAGCATGTCTGGGGCTGGGGGCTGAGGTGGGACTTGGGAGAATGATCACTGCCAATGAGGATCTAAGGGCCTGGGAGGCCAGCAGGTGGACTGGTCATCCACACAGCTGTGGACCTTCCTCAAAATGAGTTCTAATGGCAAAAAGTTGGAAATAACCAAAACTGCCAGCTCCTAGGGGTGGTTAAGTAAATGATGTTATATGGACTGGGCAGGATATTTATTTTTGTAACCACTGAAAATGTGGGTGCTCCCCGTTGGGCAGGGTGGAGTTTCTGATAAAGTGTTCAGCAGGGAGAACCCTCCCGGCATCAGGGAAGCTTCTCCTTTTGGTACAAATAGAACAAAATGCTATACCAGCCACCAGGGGGCAGCTGAGTTCCCAGTGCAGCCAGCCCCTGGGTCAAGAACCAGGCAGCCCCCCCCCCTCCACACCTCTGCTTAATAAGTTCTGTATGTGTAGCCACTCCCTCCACCACGACTGGTTTTGCCTTATGTCTAACTTGATTTGTAATTTTATATTTTTGAATAACAGCTACCAGTGTGACATAATTATTTCCTCCTTGTAGACAAATGGTAATTTGACCAAGTATTCCACAAATCTGTGGTTAAAATTATGTTTTAAAAAAAAAGAGAAGTGGGAAATGGTGGGGTTTGGGTTCATTCTCTTTTCTAGATTTTCTGCAGTGACCTTGTATTATTTTTATATGAAAGAAACCACTACGTTAAAAAAAAAAAAAAAAAAAAACAGTGTGTTCTTCCTCCTACCTTGGGCGGGTCTCTGTGGGAAGACACGGAGGAAGCTGGGCCTGCGTAGACTGTGTTCTGAGATCCGGACCTGCTGGCCCTGCTTTCCCCACTTGGCTCTCTGTCAAGAGAGAATATAGTAGCCCCAGCTCTCTGTCAGCCTCAGGAGAAGCCGGGCGCTGCCTGGGGCTTGGCCTAACCTGGGATGGTGGGAGGAGGGGCAGGATGGTGGGAGGAGGGGCAGGAAGGGGCCAGGTGAAGAGCCCCTCCTCCGGGCTCCCCAGATAGTCTCACCCAGCTACACGAGCCCCTGGGACACCTCTGGGTGCCTTACTCTTGTCCCTCCTTCCTTCCCACAGGTGGAAAAACTTGTGAAATACTTGGACCCCAACGACCTGGGGAGAATCAACTTCAAGGACTTTTGCAGAGGGGTCTTCGCCATGAAAGGTGAGTCTTCTGGGGCAGGTGACTAGGGCCTTTCTGGGACCCTGTCCAGCGGGGATGCTGGACAGCTTTGGGTCCAGCTTAGATTCTCCCCACCAGGGTCCCAAGAGCCCAGGGTGGGTTCCAGAAGTGGGCAGGGAGAACCCTCACAGGGTTCCCCACAAGATCTTAGGCTCCCAGCAAGGAGGGGCTCTGTGTGCCTGGAAGATTTGCCAGAGTCCCACAGCCAGAGTCAGGCTCGCCAGGCCCCTGGGACGGTCATTGCTGCCTCCCAGCTGTCTGTGCCCCTGGAGAAGGGCTCTCCTTTCCTCTCTCCCTGCTGCTACCCCTGAAGGAGGTCATCTCTCCCGAGGCTTCCCAGGACATGGGACTTGTAGTTTGAGAACCAGGACAGCTGTGGGAAAACCTGGGCAAATGTCACCACCCTCCCTCCCTTCTAAGTTTCCTTTACTTCTTTTCTGCCCTCTTCCTCCTCCTCCTAACTCCTGCTGATTCCTTCCTTTCTTCCTTGTCTCCCCCCAACCTCTTGAAGGGGGAAGTATGTTCTCCCCACTCCCAACTTAAAGGCCAGTTGTGAGAGACCCCAGGAATGAGAATCTGGCTGACACTAAACTGGAGAAAGTGGCTCAGGCCCAGCCTGGTGGGCTGGCTCAGCCCCCGCCTCCAGCTGCAGCCAGAACAAGGTTTCCTCAAGGAATTGCGAGGTCTTCCTGTTACCTATGAAGGAAGCCATGTTTCCCTGTTGTATGGATCGGAGCAGGATGACTCTGGGGCACCTCAGAGTTCTGGGAGGGGGTAGGGAGGGAGCAACAGAGGTGAGAAGTGAAGAGAAGCAAGCTAAGAGCTTGGGTTCTGAGTGGATCTGATCCTGTGCAGCCGCCTCTCTGTCCTGTGCTGTGCTAGACACTTTGCAGCTTTGACCTCTCTGTCCCGTATGATTTGGGAGCCTTTGCTTAGGGACTTAGAGGGACTCCACCCGTGTAACTGAGTCAGCAATAGTCAGAGCCGTCTGGATGGTGGCCCTATTCTAGATGTCCTGGTTGCAGGCCTACAGAGAGTCTCTGCCTTGGGGGAATGTGTACATTTGCAGTCCTTATGCTTAGCCAGGGAAGTAGTGTCTTATGTCCCTTCCTCCAGGAAGGCTGCCTTAATTACCTTCCCAACCAGTCCTCTACTTTTGGGAGTCTATCTTGTGTGTGTGTTCTGTGTGTTGGGGTTAGTCCCAGTGGAAGGCAAGTAGCTGTCTGAGGTCCTTCTGCAGAGCTCTGCGCGTGCTTCTGCACAGCCTGCCTGGGTGCCTCATCCTTGCCTTTGAATGAAGAGTTGTCTCTTAGAGGCTCACCACAGCCCTTCGCACCCACGGCCTGTTACTTGGAAGCTAAACTGCTGAGCCAGGCTGAGGCTCCGACCCTTACCCTCTGTCTGTCGGTCCACAGGGTGCGAGGAGCTGTTGAAGGACGTGCTGTCCGCAGAGAGCACAGGGACGCTGTCCTGCACGCCAGAGATCCCTGACTTCGTGGAGCAGGTAAGGAGGGTGGTCCCAGGGGCTTCCGCCCAGAAGGGCCACGGGAGCCTTCCACAGCCCTGCCTTCCCGTCCTGTGTTTCGCTTCTGTTTTTGTACCTGGGATTTCCCAGTGCCACCCTCTGAGGAGCTTTGGCTTTGCTTCAATGTAAAGAAATAGTTTTGGGAACCAGAGCCCCTTGGGAAGCCACAGCAAAGAGTGGGGTTCCTCACAGCTTTACTCCCCCTCTGTGGTGCTGAGGAGAAATTGAGTTCTGAGAGGGACAGGGCCAGCCTTGAGGTCAGTGCAGGCAGCACCCCATGGTTTCTCCTGAGCGGCATGTGCCACTGTGTCTTTTTTCCAAGTGCACCACCTCCACCCCCACCCCCCGGTTCTCTGATACCAGCTAGGGGTCCAGCAACCCAACTGAAGTCTGACACTAACGACTCAGCATTAGTGGAGTCCCCAGCCAAGGACTCAGTCCCAAATGCTTTCCCCCCACTTCAGGGTAGCCACAAATGGGGTGCCCAGGATAACCACACTTCTACTGAACTGACTACAAGCCCCCCTCACTTTCAGCAATTTACTAGAATAGCTCAAGTATTGGGAAAATACTTTTTGTAATGATTATTGGCTTATTATAAAGGACACAACTCAGGAACAGCCGAGGGAGTGCTGGGGGCAAGAGAGAAGGCCCCCACGCCCTCCCAGTGTGCCCACCTCACAGCCCCCATGTGCTCACTAACTCAGATGTGCTTGTTGTCTGTCCTCCAGTGTCTTAATCCCTCTCTGGCCCCTGCGCCGGGAGATGGAGAGGCTGGAGCTGAAAGAGCTCGCCTTCCAGTCCTGTCTTTGGTCTTTATGGCACCAGCCCTGAGGCTGTGCAGGGGCCCACATTAGTCACCTCATTAGGTGTGTTTGAAAAAGGGCTCTGATCTGGAAGCTCCTAGGGCTTTAGGGGCTCCTTGCGGTTTATTGCAAAAGCTTGAGCTATTTTTCCAAACACCTGCAGTTTCACCTGCTTCTAGAAAGACAGAAGTACGGTTCCCACTACTGGCGCTGACAGTCTCTACAGCTGCTTCAGCTGAGGCAGTCTGGGCTGGAAGCACCATCTGGGTTCCTCTTCCAGGTCAGCTCTAAAACCTCTCCTCTGTTTGGTGCCTCATCAGACCCATGGCATGAGTATTTTCTATTGCTGAAGTAGGCCTAGGACCCCAAGGGTGACTTTGGCTGATGGGATCCGCCTGGGTGATTGGGCAGGGTGGGAGTGGGGGATGGGGACTGTACAGGTGATGGTGATGGGGGCTGCCCAGTGAAGCAGTTTTTGAGAAGCCGAGGCTAAAGGTGGCAGAGACCACTGCAGGTACCGCTGGAGCCTGGGGCATCCATGATAGGGGTCAGATGTCTGGATCTCAGGGTGCTGAGCCCTAGGTCTTCAGGAATAGATGAAGATTGCTGGGCTCAAGGCCTTCTTGATGGGTCTAGCCAACATGTGGTGAATATGCCTTTGGGGCCACCTAATGGGGTCAGGACTGTGTCCAGTGTCCCCAACTGTGGGGTGAACATTAGAGTCCCGTAAGTTTGTTGGGGTGGGCCTTTATGGTTGCGGATCAGGAAGCGGGACAAAGAGTGAGCTGTGAGGTCATTCAGACGTGGGGCCTACTCCACTGACTACCCTGCAAACCAAGCCGGTCACTCAGCGCTCTGAGCCCCAGTGTACCACCAGCAGGCAGGACTGCCAGGCCAGTCTGGAGCCCTTGTGACGGCTCAGTGAGAAAACACCCTCATGGGTGAGACTCCCGTGCGTCCTCCGCTGTCGTGGGGATAGTGTGATAAAGCTGTGCAGCTCTCCTTTCTCCCTTGGGTCCTGGTGTTTCAGAACTGTGTCACAAGCCAGAGGACCAACCTTCCCCGCAGTGGTAGCCTGACATTCCCCTGATTTGGGGGCTGCTTTTGTGCCCCCCACCATCAGGCCAGCCACACTTCTGCTTTTGAAGGCTGTACTGGTTTCCAGAGCGCCGAACCTCAAGGCTGTAGCAAAGCAGAAAGATCGTGCCAGTCTGATCTCGGCAAACTCAGTACCCCCTTGATTTCCCTCTCTCGGTTTTGCTTGAGTGTAGATTCTGTGTCTTCTGATCTAAGCCCCTGCAGAGTGACTCCTTTCTGCTGTCCTAGAAATCAGACACTTACATGTGACTGGCTTGGCCAGAGCCCAGCAACTGGCTCTTGCTCACTGGACACCCAGGGAGCTAGTGTGTGAATGCCCAGGAGGGCATTCTGGGTGGCCAGGACTCTGTGCTCCTGGGCACTGGTCTGGGTCCTGCTGTGAACAGGTCCTGCTTAGAGGGACAGCTCAGTGGCCAGCCTGCTGGGTTGGTGGTGTGACATGAAGGAATCCTCCTGGCTCAGGCTCATGTAGCCTGTAGTTAGAGGGGTGAGACCACGGACCCCTTAGTTTGGGGGCGTGGCAGGGGGTAGCCTGAAACAGGCCCTCACAGGCTGGGCCCTCTGTGCCCTGCTGTGTCCCCACTGTCCCCTAGGAGTCAGCTTGAGACCATCCAAGTCCTCAGGAGCCTGAATCTCTGCTTTGACTTCTCTAGTGCCAAAAGGGAATGAAAATCTGAGGAGCAGGGTGGGCAGCATACAGGGGTATCGGGGGGACAGCAGGAGCACCCCTTTTCCTTCCTGCCCTCACAGTGGGAAGGGCCTCTGATTCAGACCTGACACAGTGAAATGCTTTCGTGTGGGTGGTGACGAGCACTGGGCTGTCGTGTGGGGCTCTGGGCCTGCTAACCACACATGCAAGATCGTGGGAGTTCACCAAGGAGGGCTCTGGAGCTGTGTGGTGGGAAGAAAGAGTCCACTGCTGAGGGAGTCAAGCCAAAGGAAATGAAACACTGGACATAGTCCGAGAGAGAGACAAGCAGGACACGGCTCGGGTGCTGAGATTGGACAAGAACTGACAAGTTCTTTCTGTTCTCTTGTATAGCATCTAGATTCTTGTCCTGGAAAAACATTAGGCGTCCCTGATGGTGGCTCTCAGCCTCCCTGTGTCCTCAGAGCCTGTGACGCCTGGTGTAAAAGCAAGTAAACAAAACCCTGCCTCGAGGAGGGCTCAGTTAACCAACTGCTGAGTGAGTCTCAATGCAGGGACTCTGTGTTGGGGCCCGTGGGCAGCCTGAGTGTCCATGAGCTGAGATCTCAGGAATGACCCCTTTTGCAGACTGCCCACTGCCCTCCAGTCCACGCAGTGCTGGTCTTCCTGGGCAGGGGGCGTGGGCAGGCACAGAGAGCCCCGACGTCAGGCCCCCAAAGCAAGGGGACATGAGGTGAAATCTGACCCCGTAAGCATGACAGACCCCGTGTCCTTGGGCCTTCTCCAGGTGGGGTGACTAATAGGGGCCCACATAAAATGAAGACAGAGTCACGCTAACCCCTGCTCCTCCCATGTAAACACCACCTCAGTGAAATATGTCATCATCCTCCCCTCCCAAGCCCAAAACTCACCCCTGACTCCCACAAACAAAACCAGCATTGAGGCCTCCAGTCCCCACTCTCCTCCCATCCCTTTCCCAAGCTGCTCTGGCTCTCATGGGGCCCCCACCCTTTCCTCTCCAGACCCGAAGCCCGTTGCCTCAAGGTTTCCTATGGAGAAGTTTGTGTCACCTCCTCCCCTGACCCTCATAATGAGTGGGGTAAAAATTCAGCATCGGGTCCTCCAGCTCCAGCCCACACCTCTCACATGCCATGTTTCACACTCATTGACGGAGAAGACAGGCTTCTTTTTTGCACAAGTTATGTCTTTCCCCGGGAGGTCCTCCCACCCACCATCAAACTTTTACTCGTCATTTAAGATTCATGTAAAACCCCCTCCTCCAGGAAGCGTATGCTGGTTCCCTCTTCCTTTCTCCTGGCCCTCTTCTGTGTCCTGGAAAGCATTAGGATTTTCTCAAGTAGGTTCTCTACATGTCTGCACTGTTTTAGAGCGTCATTTGCTGGTGTGTTAGCATCCTTTGGCCTTACTTCCTAACTGCCTACGGTTTGCACAGAAGACAGCTTTGCGCTTTTAGTGTTGGTCTTGGTGTGACGACCCTACTAGTCTCCTTTATTAGTTTTAGTGGCTCATTTGCATACAGCAAGGCCTCAGATGATGTCCCTTAGTGCAATGTTATTTCATTATAAGCTCGATGAGAAAAATCAGTGAGCGCTGACCAGGACTGCTGTGTGTGGTACTGTATGCCCTCCCCACATCTGCATGGGTTCCTCTTGGACAGCGTTTCCACCCACACCCCAACATGTGCATATCAGAGTCACTGGTGTGTCCCCATCATCGCAGTCCGAGCCAGTAAGATCAAGTATGTGCCCTGGGATGGAAGAGCCCCCTGTCCAGGGTGGGTTCCCGCTTCCTGAGACTCTGGAAGAGGCGCTAGCCCTGGGAAACCTGAACTGACTGGGAAAAAGAGTGAATGAATTAATGAATTCAAGTGTTTTGGTTTTTTTTTTTTTTAAGATTTATTTATTTGTGCATACAGAACTGCGGTACAGGCCAGAGGTGCAGGGGCGGCGAGAGGCTTCACCAGAGACAGAGTGGGGAGCAGAATAGGCTGACTGACAAAGTACACTGCTGAGGGGAGCAGCGGGGAAACAGGAGAGGTCTGCCAGGCCATGTGGGTCACCTCCGGGGCAGGCGGGAATCGAACTCATGAGAAAGTAGCTTTAGCTTCTCAGTGCAGTGCTTTAACCCACTGCGCCACCAGGGAGGGCCTCAAGTGGTTTTTTAACTAGAAGAATTTTGGGTCCTTGTTTGAAATTTGGTTGTGTTTTTATGACCAGGAATACATTGTCGGAACTTTACTCTTAGTTATATCAATTAACCTATAGTAAAGTTAGTTTCATCATACATCATTGTATGAAAAGTTGCAGTTTCCAGGAATCTATTGACTGCATTGAGAACCATCCCTCCTTCCTTCGGTAGCATTGCATTATAACATATACGTTTCAGAGGAGCGGTCATTGAAAACC